TGTAAGTCTTAAATTTATTAAAATTATTATGTGATTATTATTAGATATCTTTATATTTTTAATGTTAATTTTTTTTCCTAAACAAAAGAGATATTCAAGTTTTTATTTCTTTACAAAAAAAATTTCTCTCCCATATGAGTCTTTTTCTCTTTTTTAAGCTTTGTACTTAAGTTTTTTAATATTTTTAGGACAATGATTGCTATACTAATATCCACCAGTTTAATCATTAAAAAATTAATATTTTTAAATTTGAATTCAAGGTGAAAAATTTTCAAAAATAAATTTTAATAACTGAATTGATAAATATTATTAGGTGTGTTGAATTAAAAGGTGTACTAATCATTTTATTTATTTTTTATTTAATTTTGTCATGGTAGAAGTGGGGATAAGACATGAGTGACATTTTTTTTTACCTAAAATAGAAGCTGGCATACCATGTGAGACTTCTTAGTGCTAGAAATAAGGGGAGGAGATTCATCCCTTCAAATTAATAGGGCTATTAATTTGTTTTACTAAAAAATTTAAAACAAAAACTAAAAGAAAAATTATTCTTCATAGCTTGTGAGCAAATTGCCACAAATCCTTTTGAAGCCGAATCTAGATTATCATATCAATCCAAACATTCACTCTTAAAGCATATAAATTACACTTGATAATGACAAATAGCAGAAATGAGAATCCATCAAAAATGCAAAATCAGAATTGAATTTTAAAACTTTCCACCTCAGATAAAATTACTTTTTCTGGCAACACTCATTTTACAAATTCTTCCTCTGATTCCCCTTTTTCTTATCATTAATTAATCACAGCGAAAGAATAAAAGGTGAAAAGGCATAGGCATTGGCATCATTTTTTTTTTCTCAAGAATCCAAACTCAATTAAGAGCAGGGGAATAAGAGGCTGTTGGGAAATTGAAAGGGTAAGGATTCAAACTTACCAAAGTTTACTAATTAAGGATCCAAAATTTTTTCTTTCTTAATAGAGGAGCTGAACTTTCCAACTTTCCTAATCAAGGACTTCTACCTACCAATTTTACTAGACAAGGATTAAATGAATGGAAAGCAGGCTTAGCAGTTTCAACTTCATTATTGGGGTCCAGTTTTGTTGCTGATTTATTAAAAAAATATCCTTGTCAATGTTGACATGGAAGCAAATGCAACAAATATATATATATATATACTTTATAAATTATAACAGTTAAAAAATTAATAGAAGTAGGTTTTTTCTAGACTGTTGTAAAATAGATGCAGTATTTTTTTAGTTGCATATTTTTTGTTTGAACCCCATGAAATTGTTATTCATGATTAATCAAAGAGGTCATTACATGAGTACATAACAGAGCAAATGGCTTTCAAGAGGGTAGTGCGCTCAATAGTGAAGACAAGATCCTATCAAAATTCTCTTAGTACCCAATCCACAGGGCGATTAGCTTCCCTAGTTAGGAATGTAAGTAAAAGAAACAACAGAGAAAGAAGTCACCAAAGGCCAGATTGAATAATCAACAGGAGGCTCAATT